CGGGGCCCAAGCGGCTGCTGCCGCGGCTCTCCGGCTCCCTCCTCTGAAGCACGGGTCCCCTCACAGGGGCATGCAGAACGACCCCAGAGCAGGCTCTGCCGGAGGGTGCAGCGGCGAAAGGCGACCCAGGCGCTCAAGGCTTCGGTCCAGCCTTTGGAGGACAGGGCTCGGCACGCAGCCCAGTTCCAACCTCTAGGTGCGGCTGCCGGACAATGTAGCCATAGCCATCAAGACAGCCGGCAGAAAGCAAATGGCAGCTCCGGCGGAGTGGATTTTCGGCACAGAAACCGCAGCCCAGCCAACGATTCCAATCCACAAACTCTCCCTGTATAAAAAATATTAAAAAAAAAAAAAAAAAAGAGGCGTGGCGCACTGAGCTTTCTTTGCCTAGGGTACTTACAATCCACTGCTGATTACACATTCACCTTTTCTGCCCGGAGCGAAGCGAAAGAGGAAGCAGATGGGAGCAAAGCGCCCGCGGCTCTGGGCGGCAAAGCGTCCAGGAGCCAAGTGTCTCTTTTTCGATCTCTTTGTTCTTCCTGCTGCTTGGCAAAGTGGTCCGCTACAGATTAATGGTGAAAGGAGCTCTTACATGCTGTGCGAAATCTCGATTAAAGCCGCTGCTCTGAGCACCACGCTCAGCACTTCAGCAACCCCCGTGCGCCTTATTAAAATATTTCTGAGGCTGGCCTTGAACTTGTAATCCTCCTGCCTCAGACTTCCAAGTCACTGGGATTATAGGTGAGCCACTACATTCAGCACCAAAGAAACATTTTTTATTAGATATCACTAATCAAGCCAGGCACAATGGCACATACCTGTAATCCCAGTGGCTAGGGAGGCTGAGGTAGGGATATTGTGAGTTCAAAGCCAGCCTCAGCAAAAGCGAGGCACTAAGCAACTCAGTGAGACCTATCTCTAAGTAAAATACTAAATGGAGCTCAGTGGTTGAGTGCCCCTGAGTTCAATCCCTGGTACCAAAAAAAAAAAAAAAAAAAAAAGATATCTTTAATCAAAATTGATTAAATTACATTTAAAAACTACTCTGTGATATACAACTTCCCACCAGTTCATACTAATTTTTCCATAAATTTAATCCTATTTTTCATGTCCTTCTGAAATGGAGGTGATAAACAAAGGAGGAAAACAAGAGTATTAATGAGAAAAAAGAGAGAAGAAGAAAACAAAAAAGAAAAATTTGAAAAAGTTATTAAAAGAGAACTAAAAGGAGAAAGTCAGGGAAGGAAATAAAGGAAGCCTAAACACAAGTATCAAAAAGAAACAAAATTTTTAATCATGTCACATAATTTCAGAGTCTAAGAAATGAACAACTATCACTTTAACCAGAGATAGAGTAAAGCTGGCACAAATGCCTTATATTATTACTCTACTAAATAAACCTCTTCTAATCTCCTGCTTAGAGGATGAAGCCTGGCTACCAGAGTCCTGGGAGCTAAGTCAAGGAACAGGGATAACGGTGGGAGATGAGAGGAGTTTCTCAGCATTTTAGAATACATATATTCATATAACCTCTCTATTCTCAATTCCTCAACTCCTTATTTCCCTCAGTCTAGAAATTCTGTTTTAATCTCCCAGTATCTGATGTCATGTACACACTATCCACATATTTATCCCATGAAGACAGGACTGCAGTATATCTTGGTAATGTTTATTTATCCACTACAAAGAATAGCGTCTTACTGTTCTTATTAGGCTCTCAATAAATAGTCACTGAATGCGTGCATAAGTCATGAATTCCTAATGAAAATTCTCACACCAAAGAAAAATGTACGAATGCATACACACAAACACTGCATACAATTTGAGGAAAATCACAAAATCTTGAAGTCCATTGTTAGCTCCATTGGAGTTTTCTGGGGTTAAGAACTTTTGCACAACTGACTTTTTATTAAAATAACAGCAAGTCAAAACTATTATTGATGAACCCAGCCTAATTCCATTTTAAGATGGGGAGCCATCTCATCACAAAGTCATGAAAAATTAATTTCTGTTTTACTATAAATTACTGCAATTTCTAAACTTGCTTGGAATTCCTGCCTGTGCCTTGAACTCACCTACGCCTGGCTTTCCCTGACCAGATAACAACCCTCTTTAAAACCTTAGTAGTGCTGCATAAATCCTGGTTACCCCTGACCAGACAACAACCCTCTCTGAAACCTCATCGGCGCCTCATAAATTCTGATGTTGGAATCTAAATTTACGCCCTACCTTTAAAAATCATGCCATGTAGATCATTAACCTACTATCTGCCTTTGTATTATGGCTGTCAAAATCTTGTTATCTGTAAGTTCTCAAGAAAACCCCCTTTGCAACTTTTTGTACTATAAAACCTCGTTCCTGGAGAGCTGGGGTGCTGATCTCTAGCCCATGTTAGGAGAGACAGCTGCTGATAGCTCTCTTTGTGTACACAAATACAAGCTTGCTTTAATTTGATTTAAAATTGAATTTGGTCTTTTCTTTGCGTCGGGGTTCAACATTATTAGGTAATGCTATCAAGGAATGTATTGCCAATAAAATACATGACTCACGTTCTATATCAAAATATTTCTCCTCTGTGTGTTTAATACTGTTCTCAGAATGTTTTCAGCATGTACTTCTTTGAGGATACTTTAACCTTACAAAACAGAGAAATATTCTTCCTCAGGGCTTTTATACCTGTTGCCCTCTCCCCAAGAATACTTTTCTCCCAGGCAGCTCCACAGTTTATTCTCTGACATCATTCAGCTTCTATTCAAAATGTCACCTCTCAGAGATGTTTTTCCTTACCATACCTATCTGAAATAGCACCTCCCCATACACACATCTCCATCATTCTGTCCCTTTACCTAAATATATAAAATCATATTTGCATATTATCTATATTCCCAAACTAGAAAAGTAAGCCATTTGAGGACTAGGACTCTGGGTTTTCTCCAAGACAGTATATCATCACAGTTAAAAGCAGTTTTGGCACTCAGTAAGCACTAGGATATGTTTTGAGTGTATTCTGTGACAGAAAAGTAAGAAAGGAACAGAGTATTCAAGGAAGAATCAGTCCATGTAGGGCCACTAAAACTATTCTTTTGCCTTTACTAGCTTTAGTGTGATGCCAAGCTAAATTACTAAATAACAGGATGAATGAAAGGGAAAGGGTACTACAGAGGAAGTACAGGCAAAATAAATGGGAAAAAAGAAAGTTTGTTTCGGACATAACAAAAGCATATGCTATTTAACAGAAGTCAGACTTTTTGTGTATGTATTTGAACTTCTAACTCAAAAATCTAAACCTCAGGGTGCTCCCACAGCCAGGAGCTTCATTCTCTGCTTCGCAATTTTCCGATTTTAGAGATAAGAGCCTAACCAGGCTTTATGAAGCAACAGATTCCAAGAAAGTGTGTGATGTTTCATTTAACTTTCTGTCCTGAAATGTTATGAATACAGGTTAGCTTTTCTTTAGATTTTATTTTGAAAAGTATTGTCAGCAGGCCCAGTAGAACATGCCTATAATCCCAGTGACTCAGGAGGCTAAATCAGGAGGATCACAAGTTCAAGGCCAGCCTCGGTAACACAGCAATACTCTGCCTCAAAAAATAAAAAGGACTGGGGATATGGTTCAGTGGTAAAGTGCCTGGGTTCAATTTTCACACTAAAAAACAGAAAACTGCTGTTGTCTATGGCCACACTACCCTGAATGTACCCAATCTCGTCTGAAAAGTGCTATGAAGACAAGAAGTCCTCAATGTTCTAAGATGAAATGAAGATAAAACATCAAGATTTCTGATTTTAACTTTTAGAAAACAGAAGTCATTTTACAAGCTTCACTTGTGTGTAAATGTATATTAGAAAAAGAATTTTCCTTGAAATGAAAGATTAAAACCAATAAAGGGATTAGAAATAAAGCAGCCCCTTTATAAACATGTTTTTTAAGGCCATATTTATCAAGTGTATAAAATTCCACCAAGTTCTTATGCTGATGGCCAAATACTTATAAAGGGGCCATAATTGTTTTTAAAAATGATCTGAAACTAAGTAGATTTCATAGTACAGTGCACCTATCAAAAAAAGGCTTAGGGCTGGGGTTGTGGCTCAGTGGTAGAGCACTTGTCTAGCATGTGTGAGGCACTGGGTTCAGTCCTTAGCACCACATAAAAATAAACAAAGGTCCATCAACAACAACAAAAAAATTTTTAAAAATAGGTCTAGTGTGCATTAATATGTACATGTTTTTATCTTTGACTTTCACCTTGACTTTCACTTTTTAAAACCCAAAGAATTTTCAGTTAGAATTGATTTAAAAATCAAAATCTAAAACCCATGAAAACTACATTAAGTATTTCTACATGTGAGTTTCTACTCAATTGATTTCAGACATAAAAGTTACTTGTTACATGGGTCTGAATATATATAAATAGGCAGCAAGAGTCATATAATTTATTATGGTATTAAAAAAAGAAAATGTTAATTACCCTGATTTTATCATTATGCTATCTATATACACACACATATTCAATTACAATACTGTGCCCCTTAATTATGTACAAATAGTATATATTTAATAGTAATATTAAACAATAAATTTTTTAAAGAAAAACAAACCTATTATGGTATTAAATCCTATGAAAGGTTAAATATACCAAATAAACACATTCTAAATTTTCCCTCGATTGAAAATCATAGTTCATGCCCTTTCCTACTGACAAATGTCTCCTACCACAAATCCTATATTTTATACGCTAGTAATTTTTTTTCTACTGGAAAGTGCTATTCCTGGAACTCTGCCACTCTCATCAAAAGAAACTGCAACCACAATGCTATCACATTTGTTTGCTTTTGAAATATGTGAGGTAATCAACATTAACAATAAAGAGAGGAAGAGAGTAAGGAAAAAAAAACCTTTAATTTTTCACAAATATAAAAGTATTAAATGTGCTACTGTGAAATGAGAGAGTCAATATTAATAGAAAATTAGAACTATTTGAAACAAGTCAAGAAAACCAATCAACATTGCAAGTGGCCTTTAATTAAACTTTGGAGTGTACCGGAAGAGCAGGCTGAAGGGCAAATATCTTAAATCACACAGGAATCTATCACTGAGAAAAAACAAAGAATGTTCTAAGAGCCTCATAGCAGACATAAAATGAATTTGCAGTATGTTATAAAATACCAACAGATACTTTTTGAAAATTACTCCAAAGTATCTATTTTGACAGGTTTATGCTTCAATATTTGCAGAGTTTAATTTTCTTACATAATGTCAAAATATAAATCTAGCTAAGCACTTCTATAATAAACAGTGAACAAGATTTTTAATTATTTCATTTTGTTAAACTACAGCAATTAATATTTCACTTGTGTTATTTCACAAGGATTATTTGAAAAGTTCAGTGTAAATTGGTCAAATTTTGATTATTTAAATTGATACATCTTTTAGTAATTTCTAACTAATATCAGTTGGCATATTGTTTATTCATACATATGTGCATCCATTCATTCAACAGTTATTGACTGAGTACATACCTGCCAGGTACTCTTCTAGGAGTTGGGTACACAGCAATAAACAAAATGAACAAATATTTTGGCTTTTTATTTTCTTATTCTTTTTGGTTTCCTGGTTCCTCCTCAGTTGTAATAAAACCTTAACTTTCCCTCTTTTATGCAAAATTTTAGCTCAGCACATGGTCATTCAGCTGCATAGTATAAAACACAGGTCATCAGCTAAGCCATATGACTAAGGTCTGGATAAGGATGGGAACAAAGGTGGTGAAAGCAACATCTCACATGCTTGAAAAACAGCTGCATACTCTACTTCCTCCTGCCCCCTGAATCAGTCAGACATAGTGGTCAGCATGCTTTAACCACAAAGAATAGAAAGGCTTAGAGATAACAAAAGAACAAAGGGAAGGAACCTTGATCCTTAAATAACCCTGCAGATCAAAGCAGTCCTGAGCTGGCCATTTCAGACTCTGGAGAAAGTTAACTATCATGGTTAAGTCGCTGTTGTTTGGTTCCTTTAAAATAGCTGAATCAATATAGTTGTGTGGTAGCCCATTCTTTGTCTTGTATATTATTTTGAAATAAGAGTAATGACCCTTAATTTACCTGGAGTATATTTTTAAAGTCCTCCAAGAAGCCATCCTTGGCCTACTCCATGCCATGATTACATTAATCATTGCTTTTCTGTAACTTCTATATCTTACATATACATTTATATACTGCTATACTTATCACATGTAATTTACTTTTGTATCTATCTCCTCCACTAGGTGTGTCCTTCTTAAAAAGAAAAATGTCATGTCACCAGCAGTGTGCCTACTGCAATCAGTACTCAATAAATATTTGTTAAACAGAACTTATACACTAAAAGTCTCTGATATTTCATGGGTGAGACAAAATCAGTCCCAAATATGGGATAGGAAAGGTTTTATTTTCAGTAGTTAGAAAGGAATCTGCATTATAAACACTTTAATGTTTACAACACTTCAATGTAATCATCCTTCGGTGACCACGATTCTTGTTAATTTCATTCAGCAGGTACTAGTAAACAGCACATATGATACAGGTAAGTTATACAAGGTACATAGTAAAGGGAACCAACAGGAGACCACCCCCCCAAAAAAAGAGTGGTGAAGGATCAGAGTGAGCAGGGCTAAGAATGAGAATAGAAAAGGAATGAGAATAGCAGACAAGCCATTTGAGGAGCACATGCCTGTAATCCCAGCAGCTCTGGAAGCTGAGGCAGGAGGATCGCTGGTTCGAGACCAGCCTCAGAAACTTAGTGAGGCTCTAAGCAACTTAGCAAGACCCTGTCTCAAAAAAAAAAAAAAAAAAAATTTAAAGGGCTGGGAATATGGCTCAGTGGTTAAGCATCCCTGGGTTCAATCCGTAGTACCAAAAAAACAGGTGGACAGATCAGACTCAGGATGTTCAGAAGAATAAAACAGATTACATAGCTATCTAAAATATGCAGGCATTAAAAAGAACATGGCATGGGCTGGGGCTATAGCTCAGTGGCAGAGCACTTGTCTTGTATGTGTGAGGCACTGGGTTCAATCCTCAGCACCACATAAAAATAAAATAAAGGCATGCTGTCCATCTGCAACTATGGGTTGGGGGAGGTGGGCATGGCAGCCCACATTAAAGCCCAGGAAGCCTGAGGAGAAAAAAGAAGAACATGGTATGGGTTGATTCTCTGAACTCCTCGCTCAGTTAACCCTGCCAAAAAGGGAGAGAGAGAGAAAAAAAAAAGAACATCAGCAGGCAGATCTCTTCACATCTTCGAAGATATTCATGCTATATCTATATTTTTGTCCACTGAAAAGAAGGTTACGGGGGCTGGGGCTGGAGCTCAGTGGCAGAATGCTTGCCTGGTATGTGTGAGATACTAGGTTCTATCCTTAGTACCACATACAAAAATAAGCAAATAAAATAAAGGCATGCTGTCCATCTACAACCACAAAAAAAAAAAAAGAAAAAGAAAAAGAAAAGAAAGAATAAGAATGTTAAGGAACTGTATATGTGGCATAAAAATTTGCACATAAATTGATTTTTAAGGGTATTTATGTTTTATGCCTTAATATTTCTATAAGGACTAACCAACTATTAAGAGATGTTCCACAGGAAAACAACTGCAGGGGGAGACTTCAGTGTTTCCTTATATATTTTCATGAACTGTCTAAATTTAACCATGTACACATATTAATCTGAATTTTTTTAAATATCAAGAGAGTTATATGAGGGCTGGGGTTGTAGCTCAGTAGTAGAGTACTTGCCTGGCATATGTGAGGCACTGGGTTCAATCCTCAGTACCACATATGTAGAAAAAGGAAGAAAGGAAGAAAGGAAGAAGAAAGGAAGAAAGAAGGAAGGAAGGAAGGAAGGAAGGGAGAAGGAAGGAAGGAAGGAAAGAAAGAAAGAAGGAAGGAAGGAAGGAAGGAAGGAAGGAAGGAAGGAAAGAAAGAAGGAAGGAAGGAAGGAAGGAAGGAAAGAAGGAAAGAAAGAAGGAAGGAAGGAAGGAAGGAAGGAAAGAAAAAGAAAGAAAGGTCCATTGACAACTAATAATTTAAAAAAGTTATATGAATAACTGAATTGATTATTATATTGTTTTCTAGAGTAAAAACATATTGATACTTTTAAAATTATTTACTATCTGAAATTATACTATTTAGATTATAAACATTGACCAGATACCTGTGTCTCAACTTCACTTTCTGAGAACCCATATTAGTTTCATTTCCATTTCATGCAAAGAGCCATTGGGGAAAAATGTAGGAGAAATACATTTTTCTTCTTTGTAGCCCTTTTAGTTTTATACTTTAAGATCTTTTCTTTAAATATGATCACTTAGCAACTTATTTTTATTTCCAGCCAATTATGATCCATGGCCAAGAGAGAAAGTAAATGTTGACATGACAGCAATATAACAGGTAAAAAACAAAATATTCCAATAATAACTTGTTCTTTCTTCATCATGTTCAACATAGTGTTTAAATGATTTTCACTGATAAAGAGTATTTGATTTGAGAGCACACAGAAATAACCAATTTCATGAACTATGTACATTTCAGGTACAAATTGTAGGGAAAATTTAAAAAACTAAATGAAACAAATTTATCTAACAAGTACTGCTGACAAATGTTACATACTAACCATCTAAAGGAGCACTTGCAGCTGGGGATGTACCTCAGTGGTACAGCACTTGCCTAGCATGCACAAGGATCTGGATTCAATCCCCAGACATTAGTAGCTGAGTTCTAATCTCAGGTATTAGATACCCATTAGATACTAATCAAGAAAGATCATTCAACTGATTATGTATATATCACTTTGATACAGAAGAAAATGTAGCTTAAAGTACTCAAGATCAATTTCATAATACCCTGACACTAGAACTAGATCTTGAAGCAATGTGGCAGTAAGACCCTTTACACAATCATAACAAGAGACATCAAGATGATTTAGCTAGATACAGTACCGCCCACATAGGCAAACAGAAATACGAAACTAATCTTTTGTTCACTCAAAAAATCTTTCTATATTAGGGTTCATCAACCTTTTCTGTAATGAGACAGATGGTAAATATTTTAGGTTTTGCAGTTCACATCTATTCTCTGTAGTATATTCTTGTTTTGTTTTCCTTTGTTTTTGTGTGGTGCTGGAGATTGAATCCAGGGCCTTGTGCATGCAAGGCAAGCACTCTACCAACTGAGCTATATATATCCTAGCCCTCTTGTTGTTTTTTTACAATCTTTTAAAACAATAAAGACCATTCTGACAGGCTGTACAAAAGCAGGTCATAGCCATGACTAAATCTGGCCCACAGGCTGTTGTTCATTGATATAGTTCTTTTATCCAAAATGAAGAGGACCTTTAATAAGCATGTGATGTTGTCAGTGCCCTTATTGTACACTCATTCTTAATCAAATTCTCATAAACACAGGCTGCAAAACAAGCCAAACAAAAACCTCACATGCTCAATATTCCCAGTTGTACAATGAAAATAATATCACACATGAAAACCTTATTATTCTGCTTAAAAATCTTTTTAAAAAAAATTTTATTGCACCTCTGATAATTATAATAATAAAATTCATTGAACACCTGGTTTTGTATCAGATACCATAGTAAATAGTGTAATACTTTTTAAATAACTTATTGAGTTATTCTTGGCATACTGCACATTTTTAATAACTTTACTAAGGCATAATTTGCATATTAGTCATCAATTTCTAATGTACAATTCAATAATTTTTAATAAGTTTATCAAGTTGTACAACCATCACCATGAATCAGTTTAATGCATCTTCATCACCCCAATATCATCCCTCATGCACATTTACTGTTAATGCCTATTTCCTCCCACTCCCTTCCCAGGGAACTACTAATCTTTCCTATGTTTTTCTTCCTCTGGATATATCATATAAATGTTATCACGTAAATGGTTTCTGTATCTGGCTTCTTTCCCTGAGTATAATATTATTAAGGTTCATTCATATTGTAGAATGGATCCATAGTTTATTTGTTTTTCTATTATGAAGTGGTATTCCATTAGATGTGCTGCACTTTCTTAAAAGATGTAATTTACTAAGTTTTGACACATATACAATCATGATATCATCCACATAATAATCATTCATTTCCACAACTTACTGTGCCCCTTAATAATCCTGCTACCTGCCATTCTCTATCCACCTCTGTCCCCAAGGCAACCATGAGTTTGCTTTCTGTCACTATATAGAAGTTTGCATTTGCCATAATTTTATATAAATATAATCATACAGTATATATTTTTTTCTGACCTCCTTTATTCAGCATAATTATTTTAAAATTCATCCATTTTATTGTATATATTGATCTTATTATTATTCCTAAAGAATATTCTTGTTTATGTATTCATCTATGATAGCTATTTAGAATGTTTCCAGTTTGGAATTTTTACAAACAAACCTGATATGGACTTTTGTTTCTAAGTCTTTGGACATGTTTTCAATTCTTGTAAATATCTAAAAGTGGAATGGCAAGATCATATAGTAGGATCAACTTTTTAAGAGAAGGACAAATAATTCACCAAAGAGATTGCATCATTTAACATTCCCGCAGTATCTGAGTGATCTAGTCCCTCCACATCTTAAACAACATGGTCAGTTTTTTAAATTTTATTCATTCTAGTATATGTGTACTGACAGTTCTTTATGGTATTAATCTATGTTTTCCTAGTGACTAAAGATGTTGAGCATCAGTGCTGGGGTTGTGGCTCAGTGGTAGAGCACCTGCCTAGCATGTGTAGGCACTGGGTTCAATCCTCAGCACTACAGAAAAATAAATGAATAAAATAAAGGTACTGTGTCCATCTACAACTAAAAAATAATAATAATAAAAAAGATGTTGAGCATCTTTTCATATGTTTGTGTTGTAGCTCCTTGGTGAAGTGTGTTCACATCTTTTGCCAAATTTTTAAAAATTGGGTCTCTTTAATGGGTTTGATAAGTTTTTTAAATATATTCTGGATTCATCAGATATATTCTGCCAGTCTTTAATTTGTCTTCATTTTCATAATGCTATCTTTTAAAGATCAGATTTTTAATTTTTATGAAAGGGCAACTTACCAATTTCTTCTATGGATATTTTTGGTGTCACATCTAAGAAATAATTCCCAAACCCAATTTTTTTCTTTTAGAAGTATTGTTATTTGAGGCTTTATATTTAGATTTTTGATATATTTTGAGTTAATTATTATACAGGATTTGAAATGTGGTTCAAAGTTCATTCTATTATATGTAGATATCCAACTGTTCTGGTACATTTTGTTGAAGACTGCTTTATGTGGTTTTTTCACTAAAAATGCCTTTATACCTTGTTGATAATCAGTTATCCATATTTTTTTTGTCTTTTTGGGGGGAGGGGTCATCTATTCAATTGACTGTTTTTTCTCTTAACATCAATACCACATTGTCTTAACTGCTGTACCTTTATAAATCATATATATCTCCAACTTCATTATTTTTCAAAGTTGCTTTGGCTATCTTAGATCCTTCACATTTCCATATAAGCTTTAGAATCAATTTCTATTTTTTTGAAAATAAGTTTTGAATGGGAATTTGAGAATTTAATGAATCTATTGACTCCCTTGGGGATAACTAATATTTTACTAACATTCAATCTACTGATTCATAAACAAAGTACATCTTACCTTTTATTGGTATCTTTAATTTCTTTCTACTATATTTGAAGTTTACAGTGCATTCATCTTTCACATCTTTTGTCATATTTATCCTCAAGTTTTCATATTTTTATAGTATTATAAATGACATTCACTGTTTTTTGTTTCTAATTGTTACTGCTGTACAGAAATGCAAATGATTTTTATACATGGAGCTTATATACTTCAACTATACTTAACTCATTTCTTTGTACTTTTAGCTAAATCATACACTCTATAAATAATGGCAGTTTCACCTCTTCCTCTATTCTAGATGTCTCTGCCTGTTTCTTACTCTGCCTAAAATCCCATATAACATTGAACAGAAGCATTAAGAACACATATCCTAATCTTGTTTCTAAATTTAGGAAGAAAGCAGAATTTAGTCTTTCACCAATAAATATAATGCCAGCTATTGGTTTTTCTTAGATGTCCTTTATGAGGTTAAGGACACTTGACTTTGGTGGTGGTGCGGGGTGGGGAGGGGGGAGGGGGGCGTTGTGCTAGGGACTGAACACAGGGTTTCATACAGGTTAAGCACATGTACTACCACTGAGCGGTAGATCTAACCCAAAGGACACTAACTTCTATCCTTGGTTTGCTGAGATTACTTAATCAGCATTTGGATTCTGTCAAATGCTAGCTCTGTGTCTACTGAAATGATCACATGGCTTTGGTTTTATAATTTGTTAATAAAATGAATTATAATGATTATCGAATGATAAACCAACCTTGTATTCCTACAGTGAACGGTACTTGATTACTGCTATGATTTGAATATGATATGTCCTCTCCAAAACTCAAGTTGGAATTTGACTGTCATTGTGACAGTATTGGGAGGTGGGGCCTGTAAGGGGTAATGAAGTCATTAAGAGGGATTAATGCCTTTCTCATTGAAATGGATTCATTCTCCAGAGAGCAAGATGTTACAAAGCAAGTCAACTCCTAGTGTTCTTGCCTCTTCAACACTTGTCTGTTGTCCTTTCACTTTTCTGCCATGCTGTGGTGTAGCATGAGGCCCTCACCAGATGCTGGCACCATGTTCTTGAACTCTCCAGCCTCCAGAATCATGAGCTAACGTAAACCTCTATTTAATATAAATCATCTAGTCTCAGGTATTCTTTTATGTGTGTGTCGGGGTGCTGGGAATTGAACCCAGGGGCAATTTACCACTGGGTTACATCCCCAGCCCTTTTAATCTTTGACACAGAATCTCATTAAACTGTCTGGTTGGCCTTGAACTTGCTATCCTTCTGCCCCAGCCCCCTGAGCCACTGGGATTACAGGTCTGTGACTGTAATTCTGGCTCAGTCTCAGATATTCTATAACAGCAATAGAAAACATTCTAAGGCAGCCATGATAAATTATACTTTTTATATATCACCGGATTTTATTTATTAAACTCAGTTTTAAATGTTTACATCTATATTCATGAATGATATTGCACTGTAGTTTTCCTTGGTTTTGGTATCAAGATAATGCTCATTGTTTTGGGCACATAGGTAAATCAGGTCCCTGTAACACATCTTAGCCAGAAGAAGTAAGTGTGCTACATAGTTATTATGTTATTACTTCATCTAATCATTCCTAGCCTAGGTAGTATTTGTCATTACTATCACATTACATATGGCAGAAAAGAGGAAAATAATCAAGACTGACAGCAAGGAGGCATAGTTCTTTCTAAACTGGAACTAGGATTTTAATCATGACAGCATGAATCTAAAATCTACTCTCTTAATCTCCTACTATACTATAATACGAAACTTGTACTCAAGAAGATTCTCTTTAAACATGTAGATTAATTTCTTTTTTATTGAGAAAAAAACATTTAGTCTCCAAAAGATCCAAGTACTCTGATCTGGAGCCCATGTCTTACTCTCTATAGTATTTATTAAAAAAAAAAAAAAAAGTATAAAATGCCATGGTTTCTTACACTTTAAGTCAGGACCTATATAAACTATACTACTGAATATACTGAACTATTACTTAAGAAGGGATCTTATAAGGATATTCTATAGTCCCAAAATACCAACCCAAACTATTACAATAGTACTACAAAGGTACTACCCTTTTACAGTTTTATCTGATGTTTAACCACATTGTGAAATATGAATTATCATAGATATTCTACAGATGAGAAAATTTGAAAAGCAACATTAAGAAACTTGCTTAATATTCCTTAAATAGCATGGCAGATATTCAAACTCAGGTATCTACAGCTCAAAAAAGGCTCCTTAAATATCGTGTGTGTTTGTTTGTCAGATTCCAATATTTTCAACTCTAAGAAAAAAAAGAGGCACTGCCAAGGGCCTTTGGAAACAAAGAAATTTCAACATCAGATTCCAGCAGAGCTCAGGCCAAGTAAATTGGATCTGAGCTTTGATGATAATGTGGCAAGTAGACACTTCTCAACCTTTGACTGCAGTAAGCCTACTTTATTTCCTTTCTAAGGGAAGTTTTCCTACCATGAAACTAGCTGAGTGCTTTTTCTTTATTTCTGAATATCTTCAGGTGGACACAGCTCAATTCACTTGGATCACTAGCTATTGTGTATGATGCAGAATTCCTCTTAAGAGTCAAATGGGAGGAAAAAGAGAAAGAATAGCAGCAATTCAAGTTATTCTAGTCACAAAACAAGGTAGAATAGGGAAAAAAAAAAAAAAAAAACCTGGATGCTTAAGAATATTGTCAAGGTCCAGATCCTACCTATTCTGCCTCATTTTAGCAGTGAAACCTTGGAAAAGTTTCAGACTCTATCGGCTTCTAAGTTTTGATCTATAAAATAAGGATGATAATTTTACCTCTCACATACTTAAGAATTAAAAGAGAGAATACACAAAATGTGTTTAGAATAGCACCTGACACTTGATAAGCACTTTTTAAAATTATGCTATCAGTATTATATTATTCCTATAATTATGGACAGAAAAAAATTACATGTTATTTAGAGATTATTTGTATTTGCAAATAACTTGTTTCTAATGTCTGTATATTGAAAACATCATTCTATAATTCTGACAGGTCAATATTAGTGTCCTAAAAATGACGTTGGAAATTGATTTCTAGTATCTTCTATAAGTAGGCAAACAACTTTGAAAACAAACAGAAATAACCAGAAGAGCTGGGCGCACTGGCACATGCCTGTAATCCCAACAGCTTGAGAGGCTAAAGCAGGAGGATTCAAAGCCAGCCTCAGCAACAGCAAGGAGCTAAGCCAACTCAGTGAGACCCTGTCTCTAAATAAACTACAAAATATGACTGGGGATGTGGCTCAGTGGTTGAGTATATCTGAGTTCAATCACTGGTACAAAAGAAAAGAAAAGAAATAACTACACATAAATTATTAAGATAAGCAAATTATTCAATTCCATTATGTAGAATTAAATACCCACTATGTTCTCAGCATTATATAATGTTCTATAGAATACACACAAGATCTAAACCCAACTCTCAATATGCTTAAATTATTAGGGAACAAAAATACATACTTAGAATAGATAGATAAGGCAAAATATAAGCAAATTCTAGTGAATACCCAGTAACTCTGGGTGGAAGAAGCCCTCAAATAAAGAATATGAATTCAATCTACTAAATTAAAAAAAAATTCCATGTGTATATTTAATGCCATTCTTTTTTAAATTTTTTATTCTAATTTGTTATATATGACAGCAGAATGCATTACAATTCATATTACACATATAGAGCACAATTTTTCATATCTCTGGTTGTATACAACATATATGCTTAATATTAGTTTCAAAAGCAAGTGCAAATGACTGGTATATTACAATATGAATAAATTATTAATAAATTAAACAAAAAAGGATTATTTAATGAATTTCCACCATAACTTACTGTGGCTATTTTGGTACTGAGAAAGTTCTCCCTTTCTTCATCTACGTGAATTTCATGTCCAGTTTTAAATAATTCAAGCATTTTAGGGATGTCACGGCCAATGGAATCTGGTTAAAAAAATAAAAAAACCCAAATTATCACTACATCTAAAACCATAGCAAAAATTACTGAATGTGATAACCATATATTCCATGTGAAGATACAGTAAATAAATTGTGGCAGACAGACTTTAGAGTGGCCCTTGTGGTCACAATTTCCTGTGCTCATGCTCTTGAGTGATTTCCTCCCACTGTGTGTGGATGAAGCCTGCAACTTCCTTCTCAGGTTATAATGTCACTTACTAAAGAAAAGAACAAAATCAAGGTAAAAACTGAGAATGTTCATATTATACAGAAGATTTAAAAAATAAACTATATAACCACTATGATTTAGTCATTATCATTTTAACTCAGAGTTAACACACAAAATGCATTTATATTTCAGTATACTGAAATACTAATATATGCATAAAAGTGTTTCTTTTTCTCTATCCAGCCTTTATTATTATTTGTGTTCTTGATGACTGCTATTTTGACGGTTGTGAAATGAAATCTCAGTGTAGTTTTGATTTGCAGTTCCCTAATTGCTAATGTTGTTGAACATTTTTTCATGTATTTATTGGCCATTTATATTTTTTTCTTGAGAAGGATCTGCTTAATTCATTTACCCATTATGAATTGGGTTATTTGACTTCTTGGTTTAAAGCTTTTTGAGCTCTTTATACATTCTAGATATTAATCTTTTGTCACAAAAGTGCTAGCAAAGATTTTCTCCTGAAGCAGGAAATTTTATGGTAAGTTTGTAAACTAAGAGGGATTATCCAGGAAAGCAGGGAAAATGAACAGTGTAGAAAGAGAAACAGTGTCTTCTTATAGGTGAGTGAAAGTGGAATTCGTTGCACAAATGACGAGAGGTGGCAGTTAGTAGAAGCATAGAGAATTCATTTGAAGTGACAGGAAGGAAGGCAGTGTTGTGGGTATATTTAAGTATCACTGAATGATTCTTGAGTTCTTGTACTAAGTACAAGCCTGGTTCCTATGAAAACATAACTTTAAAAGCATAGGTGTATGTTAAATATGAAGAAGTTTAAATAGACATAGTTTAACGAGGTGTTTCTTTTTTGTATACCACTATTAACATCTTACTGTTTATTGTTAAACTATGTCGTACTGTTTAGTACTCAGTTACATCAGAATGTAATGAATATCTTTTCAGTATTTGTTCCATCTCTGTGTCCCTTATCTCTCAATTAGATTGTAAACTCCTTGTGGGTAGTTGCTTTTCTTCATGCTAAAGTGCTCTTGAACCATACTGAACAACTTCTCAGATAATACTTGGGAGTAATGTATGGTGAAGGTATGTTTGCTCTTCATGTAATCAGATTCTCACATTGGCTCATGAAGGGAACATTTGGCTTGAGGCACCATGGAAGTTTTGTCCCTCTCCTTCTCTCTTTTTAAAATTGCGGTACTGGGGATTGAACCCAGCGGCACTCTACCACTGAGCTACATCCCTACCCCTTTTCAAATTTTATTTTAAGACAGTGTATTACCTAGTTGCTAGGGTTGGCCTTGAACTTGCTGTCCTCTTGCCTCAGCCTCCCAAGTTACCATGTCCAGCATTAGGAAGTAGTGTGTCATTAGTGGCACATTGCTCACTATATTTCTTACCCTTCAAATATTTCACATTTTCTACACGTTTTAAATTATATTATATTGTGTACACATACAAATATTTAACAACAAATCCCATCAATCTATATAACTATAAAGCACCAATTAAAAATGTGAAAAAAAAAAGAAAATTTCCCATTTCCATACAAAATAAACTAGCCTCCTATGACTTTATATTGCTTTCCAGTTACTATCTAATACTCTTCTTAAGTGCATTAAGGTCTCATAAAAGTTGTTCATGACTTTTCCTCCATTTCCTTTTATGCGTATTCTATCAGGTTATCCTTCCCAGCATTCCACCAAGAATAATATTGTGAAAGTCACCAATGACTTTCACCTGGGCAAATCCATTAGCCATTTCTCAGTGTTCATATGACTTGACCTATCAACAGCAGGTCACAGAATATCTTTCCTCTTTCTATAACACCTTGATTTCTCCTCAAACACACATAGCTGGCCCATTGCTTTTTATCAACTTAGCCACCTTCATTTAGCTGACTTCTTCCAACATTACTATCTCTGGGCTCAGTAACCTGACCTATTATTTTATCCTTGCACACCTATCTACGTGATCTCATCCAGACATCTGGCTTTAAATACCAGTTAGTCATTCCTAATTGCAAATTTACATCTCCAGCTACAACATCACTCATGATTTCCAACCACCTATTTGATATCCCCATGTAGATGCAGAGAGTTAATTAGTGAGGTATAAATGTGACAAACATTTGCCAGAGAAATGAATAAATGACTTCATAATTTTGAGTTTAATATTATAGTGATAATGTATGGTAATTAAGTAGGAAAGAACAGAGTTTAAAAAATAAAGAATGTTTACTTTCATGGCACATATATTAAAACTGAAACGATACAGAAAAAGATTAGCATGGCCCTTGATCAAGGATAACAGGCAAATTTGTGAAGCATTTTGTATTCTGTATTCTGTGTTCTGTATTCTCCTAGAAAATGTTCTAGAATTTCTTGAACCTGGTTCAAAGTGAGTGCAACATCAACCCAAAGACAACCTTAAACTAGGCTTTAAGCCTTCAGTCTTTCTTCTAGTTAAGATCGTTGATAAACAAGACATGTCCAAAGTGAATAAGTCTGACAAATCAAAACTGAATAAAACTAATACTGAAGGGAAAAAAATATATATGCTTCTCTCAAAGAAAACTATCCAGCAGGAGAAAGAATGTTCCCAAACATTGGGATTTCTTCCCAAGAGTAAATTTCAACACTGCCTGAGAGCCTTGGCTTATTTTTATAAACCTGTGTGTTTGTATAAATTTTAGGTACCTATGGCTTCTCATCTGTACTCCCTGGCTAAGAGGTCAAGAGTAGTCAATGTTCACTTAAATCTATATTTTAAACTTCCTATTTGTACATAAATTCCAGATGGTAGATGCTGTCATATAATCTCACCACTGATGTATGTGTGGTCCTTGCGCCCCCTACAGGGCAAGCCAATTTTAACTTAGAAGAGGTGTTTTCCACTGCTTCTTCACCTTCCTGAAGGTGCATACCTTTACAGCTTCTCACAGTGTACCTTCATTTCTAATGTATCAATAAAATAATATTTTAAAAAGACAATGTTCTAGAATTTCTTGGCTTTTCCCTTAAATTTGGTTTATTTTCCATTTTAGATTATTTTTTGTGAGGAAAGGGACATCTGGCATTTAAGCACCATTCCTTGAAAATTTTATTATTTTTCCATATAATTTTCGCACCTTTGATGAAAAGAAATTGACAAATGTTTGATCCACATTCATCTATCGTTAATGCCATACAACACTGTTCTGATTACAATAGTGCTACGCAATGAAGTCTTTTGTTAAAAAATTTTTTTAATTGTCAGTTGGCTTTCTGGCTGAGGTTACATCAAGTCTAGAAGAAGTTGGGAATAACTCCATGTTAACAATATTATGCCTTTAAATCTATAGCTATAGTGTATGTCTCATTTACTCAGGTATTCTTCAAACTTTCAACAACTTTTAGCAGTTTTCTGTGACTAGCTCTTGCACAACTTTTGCTCAACTTAGTCCTACATATTTTGTTTATCCTCATGTGAAACTGTTTTATAAATCTCATCTTGTCTGTTAGTAGTCTATAGAAATGAGGTCGATTGTTGTGCATGGATCTTGGCATAATATATCTCTAAATTTACTCATTAGAAATCACAAGAATACCTTAAGATATCATCTGGAAATACAGATTTTTTCCTTTCCCAGTATATGCCCTTTACTTCACTAACCTCCAGTACAATGCTAAATGCAGGTGGTGAGAGCACAAATCTTTGTCTTGATAGTTATTTCAGGTAGAAAGCCTTCCACCTTAAGAGTCTCACCATTAAGAATGTTGTTTTTGCATAGTTATGTTTTGTCAAGTTGAGGAAATCCATTTCTATTTCTAGTATTTTCAGCATTCTTATCATAAACAGATGTTGGAGCTGGGTATGGTGGCACACGCCTGTAATCCCAGCAACTCAGGAAGCTGAGACAGGAGGATCACAAATTCAAGTCAGCCTCAGTACCTTAGCAAGGCTCTAAGCAACTCAGCAAGACCCTGTCTCAAAAAATAAAAGGTCTGGGACATAGTTCAGTGGTAAAGTGCCCCTGGGTTCAATCCCCAGTACCAGTAAATAAATAAACGTATGTATATTGGATTTTGTCAAATGCTTTCTCTGCATCTAATCCTCTTTTATTCTATCAACACAGTATATTATACTGATGCTTGGATATAAAATCAATTTATTCCTAGAATAAATCTCCTTGGTTGAGATATATGAACCCTTATGTTTATATTGCTGTATTCAATTTGCTAATCCTTTGTTAAGGATTTTTGTTGTTGCTTCTATGCTCATGAGAAATAATGGTCAGCAGTTTTCTTATGATGTCCTTGTCTGGCTTTGATATCAGGGTAGAGCTCAGCACATAAAATAAGTTGGTAAATGGTCTTTTTTCATTATTTTCTAAAAGGGGTTGTAAGCTGGTTACATTGGCACATGCTTGTCCCACTCCCATTTCCCCCACTGCCCAGTTGGGGTCCTTCCCTGAGCTTGCTCCCTCCTTCCCTCCCTCCCTCTCTCCTCCTCCCCTCCCTTATTCCCTCCCTCTGTGCCCAATTGCTCAAAACTTTTAAAAAATAATAATAATAATAATAAAAAGAAAAATATTAAAATCTCCAACTGGACTTGATTACTATATTTCTCCTTTCAATATTGTCCAGTTGTGTTTCATATCTTCTAGGGCTCTTTTTAGATGAGTAGGTCCTATTAATAATATAGAATATCCATCTTTTTCTCCAGCTAACATTCATCATCTAAAAGGTAAACCTTGTCTGGTAGTAATATAACCAAACCAATTTCCTAATACTTATTGTTTTCATGGTATATCTTA